TTTGTAGTGCAATAGCTATTAATAAAGATAACACAATTGTATTAGCTGGGTGTAATAGATAGATCAAAGTATTTGAATTCAAATAAGAATAGTTGAAACAAACTTAACTTCTAAGTGAACATTAGAATAATATTACTACTTTAAATTTTATGAAGAAATAGAATCAATTTATATCAGGAGATGGTGGTGGATTGATTATAACATGGTCTATGAATTAAAATAATCAATGGATAATTTAATAATAATTAAAAGAACATTCTTTATGTATTAATTGTTTAGTAATTAACAATAATGAAGATCTTATGATATCAGGAAGTGATGATAATAAAATTAAATTTTGGTAAAAGTAGAATCAATGGTTATGTTCATAAACTATTACAGATCATACACACTATGTATTAGGATTAAGTTTGAATGACTCATAGAATAGAGTGATATCTAGTGGAGAAGATAAATTAATATTAATAATAGAACGGTCATCATAGGATTCAAAATGGAATGTAATATAAAAGATATCAGTTCAAGTATTCGGTCATAGATTATGTTTTATTAATGATAATGTTTTCGCATTTTAACCTGATTGTTAAGAGTAGATGGATGTATATGAGATGAGTAGTACCAATAAATAGTACTCGAAGACAAAACAAATTGCTGTTAAATGTGGTCAAAATTGTTATTATTGGTTTCCTTAATAATATATAAAGTAGAAATGCCTGCTTGTGAATAAGAATGGATAATATGTTAATTTAATAAGGAAGAACCAAAATGCTGATTTTATAACTCAATAATCTATTGATTTTGGGCATAAATGTGTATTTGGATAAATGAGTGAAGATGGAAATTATTTGATTACTTGGGATTATGAATCAAAACAAATTTAAATTAGAAAATATCAATAACAATGAACAATATTATTAAAATTATTCATTATTTATTCATTTTTAATATACAAGACAATTTGTGTTAGTTTGAGTAAGAATGAAAAGCATTTAAGTAATTTCATTGATATACTAAACACTTAAAATAGAACGGATACTCTTCAAATTAAGAAAAACGGCCTTCATCCTTTAATAATTATCTAATGGTTATTATTATCTCCATTATTCAGAGGATTTCAAATGTCCGCAGAATGAAATTTCGGCAATAAAACTAAGATTTGTGTTCTTAAAGTATAATATTTCCTTTACATTATTCATCTTTGAATCTTCACTATTAAATGAGTAAAAGGAGAATAGTAGAAAACCCTTATTGTTTAATATTTAATCTATTAATCTTCAAAAACTTTTTTTACAATATCATGGAAAGCATATTAAGATCAAGTTTAACATCTTTAGAATACACTTTGACAAAGAAATTATCACAAATTTGTTGACAATACAGAAACACTATGCAAGGGTTAGAACACAAATCAGAAAACCAGATTAATTAAAATAGAATAAAATAATTATTCTTTAGATCTAAATATTCTTAATAACTCACTCTATCAGCATTTTATAAAGTAAAGAAGTAAACTTAAGCAATTAGAGCTAATCTATTCCTGGATTAAAGGATCAAAAAGTAGTTAAATAAAGTTTACCACTTTTATAAATGAAGAAATAGAATTAATTATTAGATCTGTTAAACGCATCTCTTAAATCTCTTAGTATATAGCATGTCTTCATTTGATAAACTAGATATTACCCTAGATGGATTTATAAAAAGGAAGCAATAAGAAATTAATTGTTTACTTTCAAAAAAGAGCCTCCATAATATTGGTGAATAAATTCGAGATTAAAGTCTATGAAGTTGAACATTTACCCATGAGATGTAGGTGATAAAAATAAAACTTTGAGGTATTCTATTGTAAAATTCTCTTGAGCTCATCTAATTGCTTTAAAATGCTAGAAGCTGTATTTATATATATTAGGTGGATAACTTTAAGTTTCAAGAAGCATTGAAAGATTATGTAATTATATTAATAAAACCAAGGGGAGTTTCAGATAATTCAATTGAATCAAGGGTAAAAATTAACAATTCTTAAAGTGCAATTCAAACAAGAATACACTTAAATAAGTCTTGGGATAATAAGAGTAAGAAATGGAATGAGTAAAGATAATTCTCTTCAGCAAGTTTTGACACTAGATTTTATTTAGATTAAAATGGAATTAATAATGTTCAAATGATACAAATGGTCTTCCTTTTGAAAGAATTAATTTGTTTTCCTTTCAAAAAATCATAATCATCAAAAACATCTTTGATGGCAAATGAAGTTTTTTCTATTTGATTTGAAGAATTGATATTTTTA